GTCTCTGTCAGAAAGCAGTGAAACTCCAACACAAACATTTGCACACAGGTTCTGTGGTGATCCATTTAGTTCATGAAACGAGCCAAAACCCGAATCCTTCCTTGAACCAGCGAGGCTTCAAACGTCATCGGTGACGTCACTTACCCCTAACAACACAAGCTTCGGCAACGCACTTCATTAAAGACTTGCTGGTTTTCTCGGCACGCTCCGAAGCTTCGGCACAGGAAGACCCATCACTACTCCACACCCACCGCACAAATATACACACATAATGACATACTAATGTTTTCAACCACATCTACATACAGTACATGCCTGTATGTATTATATGTACAAATGCATCCCCACACCCCATTGTGCGTGGTGAGCATTTATACCTATCCAAGGATTCTCCAATAGAATATTTAATAGTGACTGTGAAGAGCCCAAGACCCAGCCACCAAGACCCGAGGCAGACAGAGAGAGAAGCCAGAGCAGGAGATCCCAAGAGTGACCCCGAGCACAGAGCCCCCAGAGCCAACCACGCAGGACGAACCACCCAGCCACCAACCAGATTGGACCACAGGCGGGAACCAGAAGAGCTCCACGGGCAGCCACATGCAGATACCCCCGGGGCAGCAGCGACAAACCCATAGGCCCCCACCAGAGCCTGCCGCACCAAGGAAGATCCAGGCAAGGGCACAAAGGACCGGGCCCCCTCGGGCCATGGCTCGATGGGACCAGAGGACCTGAGCCCCCCCAGGCAGTCACCGGGCAAAGCCAACAAATGCCCAGGCGCCCAGCCCTAGACAGAGAGGGCCCCAAGCACGCTGGCAGGGAGGGGCTCATCCCACCAGGGAGCAGTGCAGCAGGGGCGCAAAGCACAAAAACCCAGCTGTATGACAGAGGGGGCAGTCAAAAAAACCCAGCCTGACAAGTACCCAATCATACACAAACACATTCATACCATTCAATCAGTGTGTGAATGTGAGTGTGAATGGGTGAATGTCTGTTAGTGTAAAGTGCTTTGGGGTCCGGAGGGACTTGAAAAGCGCTCTATAAGTTAAGTACCATTTACCATCCCACCCTCATCCTCACACTCATTCACTCAAAGACATACAATAACAACACAATCCAATCACGCTCCCGATACATACACTATCCCCCCCCCCGGTTCAAGACATGTACCCGCCCCACGCAGGGGGAGCTCCATATCCAAACCTGGGAGGTAGACCCATTCTATCTGGGGTGGAGAGGAGCCGACAGCCAAGACCCGATGCAGGGACTGCCCGGCCGGCAGGCCAACCCCCGCCGCGGGGAGGCCATACCCCCGACCACCCCCGCGACAACCAGGCACCCACCCCCGGCCAACCGACAGCCACTCCGGGACAGCGCGCTGACCGTGACAATCAGGAGCCATGGTCAGGGGGTCCAANCACACACACACACACACACACACACACACACACACACACACACACACACACAAACTTGTTTTTATATCCTTGTGGGGCCGATCTTTTGACTTACATTCATTTTTTGGTAATTTTATATCCTAATCCTGACCACCAACCCTAAGGCTAACCTCACAGGTACCTACCTGACCCTAAAACTAACCTAAACTCAATTCACACTGTTATGGAATAATTATATATCTGCTTTACCTTGACACTGTCAGTAATCATATCTCATTTGATAAAAGGTTCGGCTGTTTTAATCTGTTGCCCTAGACTTAAAGTCTACAGAAATGCATGACCTCTTTTATTTTTATAAGGTACTTCCTGGGCTGACAGCCCTGTTATTGGTTAGGTGGTTACAGTTGGCAAACTATGATTGGTTGTAAACATGTCACAGGATGTTATATTATTGGCTGCTCTGCACTGACGCAGCAGCCACAACTTGACAGATTTCCCTGATCGACTTCTGTTTATATTGTTGCTCCATTAAATCATCATTGACGGCCATACATGCACACTTTTGTGCATTTATTCCAACGTGTTTCTGCATTCTTAATAAGTCCTACCACGACAACACCTTTGTCCTAAACCCAAACCCCACACCCAAAATCAGTCTCCGAAGTTGTGGGGCCCAAAGGAGCACCCTGTCCCCATGAGGCTGCATTTTCATTTTCCTTAAAACTGGGCCCCATGATGTAGGAAAAACAAGAACACACACACACACACACACAGTTGAGCTGGTAAAAATGATATATGAACGTATCAACAGAAGAAGAAAACAGATACTGATATATATTTTCTTTACAATAAAGAAAATATGTATTTCTAGTCAGTCAGTTTGGACTGATTTTAATTTGTTATTTAAGCAGATTAAAGATTTCTGCAGGTATGGTGAAACATTTCTGATCTGCTGTGTTTAATGTTGTGTGAGCCCTGAACATGTTCAGAAACACAAACACACAGAACCTCAGTCTGTGATGATGGAGCATGTAGACAGAGCTAACCTGGTTCTGTTGGTGTCTCTGGCTTCAGCCTGACCTCGGCCCCTTCATCACAGAAAATATCTGTTTATTTAGCTCATTAGGCTGCAGCTTTCACAAACTTTTTCTTAG